ATCTAGATTTCTCATAAAACCAGATATCTTCTATCCCCAAAACCCCAAAACCCCAAAACCCCATTTAGTCTAAATAACTTAATATTAAGAGAGAGTAAATCTGAAATATAATTTCTACAATGGTTTTTTACAAACTTGCTATCCTTAATTGAAATATATTCGAAGATTAATAATAAAGGAGTGTTATTAAGAATTAAAGACTTATCTATGAAAGAGTAGACGAAGATAACTTGATGTTATAATCTCTTCTATCTACCATGCTGCTGTTCAAAGTATGATGGCATAGAGGAAAAACATAATTGCGCCTCCTATAACGGTGAACATCGAGCTTAGGTAGTTAGCGTTTGAGCAGAGTCTGGGGTTTGAAGAGCATTATGCATGATATGAAGGTTTGTTTCCTGGACCCCAGCAACCTACGACGTAAGGATGGAAAACAGTAGCTACATATCCATAGAAACTACCGAAATTAACACCGTTACAAATATCCACTTCGCAAGGTTACCAAAGTTCTCCTGTGATTTTATAAGGTCCATATATGACTCTTCCATCTTTTGCAATTCCGATTGGTGCTTGTGTTTTCATTACAGATGGAACCATATCTACAGCATATTAGGTTAAATTCTGGTCACAAGTATCATTTCTTCTACACAATCCTACTTAGTCTCTAAGTTTGATGTCATAGATACAAGGAGAGAACATATGATATCTGTAAGTACTAAAGGTGTGGAATGATCCTAAGCAAAGATCAATATCAATTCTGTTTAATTCGTATTGTTTGTCATGTTAGAAATTCTTTGGGAAGAAAGCATCTAGACCGTTTTCTTAATTACCAGCGAAAATAAAAACTCCATTCAAAGCTATACCAACAATGGCATCAGAATCCGGCATTCTCAATAATGGGGTAGTTACCGTATTTAGATTCCAGTCACTTGCCCATTTATTATTAGCATAGGTGTTGTAAGTACCATCGTCCATTGCCTCTCTATAATAAATGTTATTGTCCAACGTAGCTCCCTTTGCCCATTTTCCATCGCAAAGTTAATTATTTACATCCGTTTATGTAGCTAAATTAGTATTATAGAATACTTAGTTTCTCAAAAGACCAGTTGCTTTATCCATACTTCTTGTTGCTAAGTTCCAGTGAGTTCTGATACCATATGTATTATATTTTGCGAAAGAACCAACTGGTGCTGAGATTTAACTGTAGTAACAATGATTGGGCAATGAGTTGGTGAGCACTTGAATATCATAACCAGTTCCAGTCTAAACAGCTTAACATACTACGGTTAATATTCTCATCCATTAACAGGTGGTTCTACTAATATCATCTGGGCATATTCCTGGTATAGAACATTTTACCATTTCATAATCTTAATTAGATGTTAAACCGTATGGACGATCAGCAGATCCACCTTGGGAATTAGAGAATGTATAGTCAAACATATGCATGAATGATACACAATCTTACAAAGAATCTGAAAATGAAGAACCTAGAAAAGCAGAACTTGCGAAATCTGCCAGGTTTATAGTAGCTAATAGAGTGAGAGCTAAATTCCTAAGCATTCCTTTACAAAGCAATATTGTAAGTATTTTATTTAATTATTACTATATGAAGGCCATTAAGATTCTTTATATTTATCAGGAATTAATTAAATTTTGTTCATTTATTGGCACAGCCTATTTAACGATTCATTTTATTTCCCTTTTAAATTCAACATTCAAGATTAACTTCACGGGGTTTTGGGGTTTTGGGGTTTTGGGGTTTTGGGGTTTTGGGG